AGCGACGGGGCCGGTGTCAAAGCTGAGGAGCTTCTCCTGGGAGCGGGAGAGCCCCGCGAGCGTCTCCGGGGGAAGAAGGGCAGAGCTGCCCTCGGTGTCCTGCCCGTCCGCTCGGTGCTCACCGGCCAGGGTGTCCCCGTGGGGTTTGACCGCACTTCTTTGTGTGCACTGTGTTTCGCTGGTACTCTCTTTGCATCATGGCTTGCCTTTCTCCAAATTGGAAAGAAAACCACCGAGGAAGGTGATACTGCGCCTTGCCCGTGGCGTCTCTTGCAGCCTGAAAGTTCACGAGAGGTCTCGTTATGTTTTCTTTCCACCTTTTGCCTACAGGTGCCCAAAGGTTTGAAGAGATAATTTTATTCAAGTAGAATTCCTTAATCACATCTGGATGGTTTAGTGAAGTCTCCAAACTCCACAAACTCAACAGTGGAGACTTTTACTGATAACGAGTTTTACTGTATGGTGCAAATGAGAACAGGGTGGGAGGGAAAAGGGGAGGAGGAAGCTTTTCTTCTTCATTCAGGAGGATGTCCTGCCCAGAAGCTGGATGAAACCCTGACAAAGGAGGAACTGCTGCACTCTTTCTGTGACATTCAGGAGAAGGTCATGTTCCACTTCAGTCTGACATAGAGGAATGAGTCACTGTCCTTGTGTTTCCATATAAAAAAAAAGAAAAAGAAAAGAAAAAAAGAAAAAAAAAAAGAAAAATTAATAGTCCAGGGGTTTTATTTTCTTTTTATCTGTTCTTAAGGAGAAAAAAAAAATCTCATTTTATGCAGTATTCTCCTAGCCTCTTACTTCTTTACTACTTTGTGTTTCTGCAGTGACCGGCGCGAAGGGAAACGATTAGATCATGTCGGAGTTCTGGCTTATTTCTGCTCCAGGAGACAAAACAAATCTGCAGGCTTGGGAGAGGATGAACACAGTGACATCTAAATCCAACCTGTCCAGCAACAGCAAATTCCGTATTCCAGACTTAAAGGTAAAAGAATTTGGTAAAAGGGTTTGGGTGTGGGTAATGCAGCAACCCCAGTCAGCGGTATGGGTTTTTCAGATGAATCTAGGATTTCTCTTTAGAGATAAGATGCATAGAGTAGAAGAGCCTTGTGATTACTTGTGGATTATAGTCAGCTGAAAATTATTCAAAGAGAAGTCAGTCTGCCTGAGGGTTCTGTTCATATTGAGAGAATATAGGTATAAGGAGTGAAGATGACCAGTTAAGCAATGGCTCTGTTGTACTATTCCCAGGCATGAAAGCCATACAGCACTGAACATCTTGGATCACTAATGCAAAGGGAGCAGCTAAGTATCTAGAACTATACTGGTAAGATTGCTGAGGAGAGAAGACAGTCCTTATAATTCATATTACTCTGTGGGAAGTAGAGGTGTGCGTATATTCAGCTGTATGACCAATTGTCATATAAATAGGAATATTGCTAATTCAGAATTTCCATATTTCTTTGCATTATTTAATCCTTATTTTAAAAGATATGCAATTTACTTTTATGTCAGTTATGGGTATGAAAAATCCAAATATGTTGCATTAAAGTCAATAGAGCTACAACAAATGGACAACCTGGTTCCACAGGGAGTTGCTATCACCTGTCGCTCACAACCATCCAGGATCTGGCCTTAATCTGAAAATATTACTGAAAAATATAACTTAAATTCTTACAATTACATAATGATGCAAGTGAAATAGGAGTGTGGCCTGTTCAAATAACAATCTTCACATGATTATTACAGACTGGGTATGTTGTATTTCACATGAGCATCTGAGATACAAGGTAAAATCACAGCTATGGGCCTTACCCAGCTGATGTTGGTGTTAGTTCGTAAATGCCAAAGGAAGTAAAGCATTTGCAACATCTGGCAATGCAGCCCTTCTTATTTTGCTAATTGTCCCCTGTAAAATTTGTTTTGACTCCTGTTCTTCAGTTTGACCTTTTGTATGGTCTGCCACATAGAGTTGGCAACACTAGGAGAAGAGATTCAGTAATGTATTGGGATACCATAAATGAAGGACAGAGGATCCTACAAAAGCAGATATTGGACTTGGAGGAAATGGCTTTTATGAGAGACTTAGCCTTTGGTAATAGAAAAGAACATAGTCAAAGAGCCTCTTTGGAATAAGTATTGCTTCCCTTGGGTCTCCCTGTACGTAAGATTTGTTTATGTATATATATATAGTGTGTATTTATTTTCAATATTTTATGAGGTAAAAGATCAATTTATGCTACTTGATGATTCAGGAATGAGAAATAGGAAGGATAACTCTGATGCATGAACTTGAGACTGTTATTACAGTTATATACAGTTTTTCCTTTATTGGAAAAAGGCTTTTTATGCCCTAAGTTTTGGGAAAAGGAATGGCTACTATTTTCCATTAAATGATTAAAGGTCTGTTAAATTTGCTGAATTCATAAATTCTAAATATAAGTCAGTGTACTTAAGACTCTGCCAACAGAGACTTTTCACCATCTTCTTGTGCATTTTTTTAACCTATTTCTCATGTTTTGTGCAGGTTGGGACACTGGATGCTCTTGTTGGACTCTCAGATGAGTTGGGAAAACTTGATAGCTTTGCTGAAAGGTAAAATAGATCTTATTTACTACATACAAATGAGAAACAGCGTTTTGTTTTTATAGGATGGCATGTCCTTGTGTTCACCTTGGTCTGAGTCTGTTTAGCCCAGGCTGCAGCTCAACTGAAGTGGGTAGGATTTGTTTAGCGCCTGTGTTGATTGTCGTAGAATCACTACAAACGAAGGATCATTCCTTAAAATCTGTCTGACTAAAGTCAGTGCACCATGATCTGTTTGAGTGGCAATTCCAGGGAAGATGTTTCACAGAGGGAAACTGCTAGAAAGTGTTTATGTTTTTTCTTTTATTTTTTTTTTCTTTTTAAAGAATGACATATCCCTCACCTCAAACTAATAAAGCAGCATTTAGGGATGAGCTTTATTTTCTATCTCCCTTTATCGCTTACCTTCTTTTTCTGGAGTATTCCTCTTGTTATTTGTGCTCTTTCTCAAACAGATACTAAGGAAGTTCTAAGGAAGAAGGCCTTCTGAGAGCAATCTGGAGCTCTCCCATTCATGTTTTTAAATCCCTGAAAACCAGAATATTGTGTCCAACTAACTCATGCACTGACTCACATGATTTCCTTGCTGATCATGGCCTGCTTTTCCTTTTAGACCAGTCTGATCTGGGTGTACAAAGGACAATACGGTGAAAGAAGCTGAGAAAATGCCTGGTTATAAGATTTTGTGGCACAAAGTATACTTCACTTATTGGGGAAATAAAAGTACAAGTTGCTTTTTTATTTTGGTTTGGAAGCACACCTTATGTAGAGTCATGGTCTTGCTCACAGAGGCAGATGTTAGCTCTGTCTCTAAATTATTTCATTTTTCCCCTAGCCAGGGATGTTTGAAGATTTACTTGCCTAAATGTGCTTGATGCTTGCATGGATTTTGTCAGCTGTGAATGGATACAGAACTACTGATACAAGCTAGTTACATCTATGCTGGCCACTTGGGCAGAAGTTAAGTTTGGATATTTTCTAGGACATTTTTTGATCTTACTGGTACTTCAGCAGAGCCAGGGCTGATTTTGGATGATTACTTTTGATCTCTTTGTGCTGGACACAATATTGACCTTCACAGAGTTGCTTTTTAAGGCTTCTTAGCAGAATTCAACAATAAATCTCTCCGTGCTGCGGCCTTCTCCATCTGATGGGAGAAACCCTGCTCCAAGTTCTTTGTAAAGCTGTTCAGGCCTTTGGTTATTAGAGGTCATTCATGCTGGAATGAAGTGGGAGGCTTGCAAAAATCATGAAGAACTGATTTCCAGAAGAGCATAACTACTCAACTTTGTGAGGAGTTAGGGTGACTGAGAAGCTTGCTGTAGGTTGTGTGGTCAGGTTCCTGGAGATAAATTTAAATGAAATGTCAGCAGTAGCTTCCTAGACTCACTATGTTTCCTTAGTCATAACTTAACAACATGGTGCAGTTCCTTGTTCAAGTTCAATGCCAATTTACTCCACTAATTGTCCCTTTAATACAAGTAATGCTGCTCATCATATGACATGTGCAAAAAAAAAAAATAGCCTGGGTCAGGCCCTGGCAGAGTAAAGAGTAAACTATTGTGAAAAGTGTTTTTCTTATTTGTCTTGTTTATTGATAGAGCTGAGTAATCAAGGGGAATCGGTGAATTTTAAAAACAGGAAAAATGTGCTTGAGAAAAATGCATCGTGGTAGAATAAGAGCAGAGAATAAACAACACAAATGTATCCACAGCTAAAGTTCAACAAAGTCAATTTTATGCATTAAATATATGTTCCAGGTTTGGATTATAAACTGTTATTCAAGGGTTAAATGCCAAGCACTTACACTTAGTTGAAGCAAATGACACACAGAGGGTTACAAGCCTGTTTGAGTGACCTGAGCATTTATGTTCCTGGCACTAACCTGTCAGCACTGCCTCCTGCCAGGACAGCAGAGAAGGGGCAAGAGTTTGCAGGGTCTATTGTTTCCACATACTTTTATTATTTATTTGCACAGGGAGATGGAGTGTTTTTCCATGTTGCCATATGGCAGTGTGAGGCTCTCTGAAGCTCACAGTCCTCTGGGTGACTCTTGCCCAGGGATTCTCCCAGCTGCTAGGTCTGCAGTGGTCTGTCGTGTCCTGAGATTTTAGGCTGGCCACCTTGGCAGTATTATGGGGGCCTTGCTGATAGTGCTGTTTAAAACACAGTATCATTTAGAGAATGTTAGACTTTCTGTCTTTCTGTTTGTCTGTTTTTCTCACTGTAGTACTTTTACGAGCAAAATGTATGACTCTTTAATAGGATACACAGGTATATTTATACACATTTTATGTTCCTAGGTTTTTATTTCTGTTACTCAGCTGCAGCTGAGTTGACATCCTCTCATCACAGTGTTTGAGCATAATGTTTGCTCAAGGTGGGATTCATCTCATCTGAATTTAGAGGTTTAAGAGTCAGTTGCTGCTGCAGCCTGTGGGGCTGCTCTGGAGGGCGATCCCCTCACCAGCCTCAGGTGTCAGTGGTGGACAGGGTGGGTGATTTGCCCGGGCTCTGTAGGCATCACGGAGGAGCTGAAGTTCTTCCTGGTGCCCCAGGTTCTTGCCCAGATTCTGAACTGCAGAATGGTCTGGTGCCATGAGACACCTTGTTCAATCCAGGCTTGCTGCCCTCCCTGGAAAGGGAGAGGGGTAAATGGGAAGAAAGAAAGTGAATCCCCATAAAGAAGTGGAATAAGAAGGAAATTCTCATTGTCAAAACACAGGACATCATTGTGTTCCACTAAGTACTTTGTAAGAACTTTATCTTAGTAAGCTATAAAAATGTACTTAGTATCCCATGGAAGCATGTATTTCAATCACTGTTAGCCTGGAGTATTCTGCGTAGCCTCTAAACCCTTCTTCAAATCCAGAGTTTTAATTATGTGCTTCTTTTCTTCTGGTTTCTTTTACAATTATCATGAAGTGATAGTGTACAGAAGTGTACAGATAGTGTACAGAAGGCTGAATCTTAATCTTGTGAAATGTTGTGCATTATCTGCTTTGGGAAGTGATATTGCCTAGAATATGTTTACAAAGATAGGTGTATCTAGAAGTAAGGCATTTAGTTCTGCAATATGCCAGAGGTAATTTATCATTATTTGAATTACAAACTGAACTGCCTTATTTCAGAAGTATTTTGTTTGAGTATCTCCATGTTAATCAGATAATTGTGGCAACTGTTTTATATTAATTTACTTTCTTCACTAACAAGTTTCTCTTATTACACCTCCTTCAAGCGTAATAAAGAAAATAGCCCAGTATATAGGAGAAGTTATGGAGGACTCAAAAGATAAAGTCCATGAAAATCTTCTGGCCAATGGAGGTAAGTGCTGTGAATGTGAATACCTTGATGCATATGAATACCTTGATGCTTGGTAACTGCTTGTGTTTGCTTCAGAATACGAACATGCAGAACCAAAACACATACACATTAAGAAGGACAAACATCAGCAAGACTTTTTATAAAGATTTCTAAAGCCAGATCCTGTTTTTCTCAAAGTTTTTAGAAGTTTTGTCTAATTTTGCTTCCAAGATGGTGTTCAGTCTCCAGTACTCGTTTACGGAAGGAATTTTTCCAGCACCAGACCTGAGAGGTGAAGGAGAAAGCAGGAGATATTCTCCCTCATTCCTAAAATAGTTTAGCCCTTTTTGTGTTCTCTAAGGGATCAGCCACTTAAATGCAACTAAAGTTTTTTCTCTATGATTGCATGACATCTCTCAGCAATACATTAGCAATTTTCTTTCCCTCCTACAGTGCTAGGGTAGAGCATGTGCTCGGGTGGCCATGGACCTGACTGACATCACAGGTGGAGGTGTGAGGTGATGCCTGTGAAATGTGGAAAACCTCATGGGTTAATGGGGAGCTCTAGGTTGATTGTGAGCTCCCAGACCAAAATACTGTGTTAAGAGTCAGTTGCAGTGACAAATGAGGCCTGAGCAGTTCTCTACACTAATAGCTCAACATATTTTTTTTTCTGTTAGCAGAAACACCCTGCTGTTCCACAGCGGGCAGGTAGGAGATGTGCTCTTTGCAGCCCTGTGCAAGCAGCAGGACGTAATTTCTCTGTGGTCCTTGCAGTAGGAGAAGGGCTCTGCCGGTGCCCTGTCCATATGACATTTCCTCAGGGCAGCCGGGGCTGCACTCACAAGGCTGTGCCAGGAGCTGACAGGACACACACAGGCTCAACACCTCTCCTGTCACGAGTGAGTTCCCTTTGGTCCCCCCTGTGAAGTCCTGCGCTGGCCGGCAGCAGTTGCACAGCAGAGAACATGAGCACTGGCAGCAGAGGCTCTTCTAGCATGGTGAAGGGCCATGGGAGCAGAGCTACTCAGCTGTATGCACCCTTGCATCTTTGCTAAGTAGTCAACATGTCTTTTTTTGATAATTTTCATGAACTTCCTCTCTTCATCATTTGGTATGATCCTCAAGGCCCTATAGGGAGTTCATATCAAGAACAAACCATATCACATGAGAAGTGACATCTCCCTGTGTGTCATCTCTACACATTGCTTTAGATCCTGAGTGTGCCTAAGGGCTGCTGAAAAACGTGGTTTTCCACAGCTATCCTGGACTGGGCACCTTGCACGTGCACCTGCGGGCTTGGGAAGTGATACCATTAACTGGCAGAGGAAGCAGCTATGAGTGCATACACACTCCATCAGACCCTTTAACTGCCTGTAATGTTGTACTTTGTATCTGTGTGGGTGTCTGGTGGGGAGGAGGTTCTTCCAAAAATGTCCTTCTTGCATGAAATGAGACTGGCGTTTGATGAATGCAACTGCTTGACAGGTACAATAATCCCACTTGTTGTGTTTCAGGGCTAAAGGACAAAATGAAATGTCTAAAAAGTATGTTGAGGATTGGTGATTGCAGTGTTGGTCCAAGCATGCATTTGTGTGTATTAGTGCTAGAGACAAGTCTTGGTCTGGTTGTAGAGATACAGTGATCAGGTTACGATGGATTTCTCAAGTAACAACCTCGTAGCTTGATCACGATATCCCTATGACTTGAGAAACAACAGGTTTAGCTTATTTCCTTTATTTCCTCTTCTTATATTGTTTTATTTTCCTGTCAGCCCTGCATGTGTTGTAATAGAAGGATGCGGAAATTACTTGACTGTACATGGTACTAATTTCTGTCCTCTGATCGTCTAAATGATTCATAAGACTTCAACCTTTCAATTATTTTTGATTTAATTTAAAATGTGAGTACAGGAGGATTCTTCTAGTATCAACACTCTTGTAGGGATTCTTCCTCTTCCCTCTCTCCAGTTAGGAAAGGAAGGATCCTAAAATTGAAGACTTCTTTGAGGTTATAAGGACAGAAATGAGATAATAACATATCACTTCTTGCTGCATGGTCCTATTTCAGACTATTAAACCATCCAAATGCAAATCATAAGTTACCTAATGCAAGTTGTCCCATTTTAGCTCCATTTGTATATATTTCCAACAACAGTTTAGCCCACATACTGCCTAAAGGGAGGATGATATCTAACAGTTGTTTTGTTAGCTTTTTGTGAAGAAACATGCAAAGCAGCAGAAAATAGAGCCTTTTTAGTTAAGTGAACACATGTACTACATCTTAGGGGGCCAGAGCTGGAAGCAATCATATGGAGAGGTCTCTCATATAGAATGTGTATTTGTGTATTACTGGAATTTCAGAGTATCACAGCAGCAGGAAATACTTTCTTGCTCGTGATGAAATCAAAAACGTGAGTTGTAAGTAAAGCTTTTCTTCAACGGTTCAGACAGTGTTGCTAACGCAAAATGATTTTAACAGAGGAATAAAGCCATTCTTTACAGTAAGCTAAAAAGTGGAATTAAATCAAAATGAGAAGCATCAACATTTGGAGGAATAAGAGGTTTGTGGGGACAGTAATTAAAATAGCCTTGTTAAAATACCTACGCTAAGGTAAGTAAATCAGAGCTAAGGTTTCAGCCTGTGGGCACAGTGGGATGCCCACACATCCTCTTTTGGATGGACAGTTATGAAATGCCGTTTAGGAATGACTTGACAGGCTCCATGCATGAAGGGATGCCATTCCAGGAGCACGGGAGCTCTTCTACACCAGTCCTGCCTGGTATTGCAAGCTCCGTTCTGTCCGTGTGTTCACCCGAAGGAAGTCTGTGCCCGCGCCAGGGTCAGGCTGTGCGAGTTCCCCGCAGCGCTGCCGGTGCGGAGGGGTTAACTCGTGCAGTGGGCTGAGGTGCCGTGCACTGCACAAGTGCCTGACGTTGCGTGCTGAGATTAAAGACAGGCAAGGGCAGAAAGGGCCTGCGTGTGTCTGGAGGGAACTTTCGTATCTGCTCTCCTATAAATAGGTCAGTGCCTGTCTTTAAAGACTCGGCGTGAGTGCACCGCTCCTCTGCACAGCCATGCAAAGCCTCACTCTTTGCAGGTTTAGTTCCTGTTGGATTTAGCAAAGAGTGAGGAATAGAGCTTGAAAGAGAGGCAGCAGGGTGAAATCCTTTAGTCATATCCATATCGTGTCTCCCACCCCTGAAAGGGTGCACCAGCATAACTGTTGCATGAAGATGACTGAAACCATAATGCTGAAAATGCTCCCATCATCTTTACCTTCAAATTCTTTTGATCCTTTCTCTGCAGAGATTGTGAGAAAAGGCTACCACAAAACTGTGCATGCCATGGCTATTGGCAGAGCTCTGGAATTTTGTCCCTGTCCCATGCATTCCTCGTGCAGGAGACTCTGCTGCTCCCTCAGGGGCTGCATCTCCTGTGCAATGGATGTGTGGGAAGTTTACATGACTGTCTGATTTCAAAGAAAGAGGGGGACAGCTCAGTCACACCAATGCTCTCTGCCTCCTGCTCAGTGGTATCCTTTGATAAGGAGCCTGTGTCCTGCTAACATAAGACTTTCCATCCTTTGGAAATCTAATAGGGTAAACTGACTCTGTTGTAGGATGAGAGAAGCCCATGGAAAGGATAGGGCTCTCTGGCCAAGGGTATTCGGTGTCACACCACACTGCAGTACCCTCGGCTGGCAGTGTGGCAATTGAACAACTTCCACGTTCCTTTTCACATAACTCACTTCGTAACATGTGTCCCATGCCCTGGAAGACCATCCGCAAGAAATCCCACAAAGTCCTTGCTGCAAGTATGAGCCAACCCTTTGGTCAAGGGAGTAGTACCCTTGTGGCCCTGCTCTTACTGAGCGCCTTGAGCACCATTTACCCCTTGTTTTCCCAAGGCAATTTCCCAGGTACTTCCCATGAGCACCCTCTTGATCTGGATGCAAGCCTGCCCTTTGGGATGGGCATCTGCTGCCTTTCCCAGCCTTCCTAACCTGCAGGGCCACGTTGCAGCCTCTGCTTGTTGTGTCAGGATTTATGAACTTTCCCATCCCATAAAGTCACCCCAAAACACTGTAGGAGTGTGGGGGTATCCCTGGGCCGAGCTAAGGCAAAGAGCTGTCTGATTGCATGGGCTGTTAAGGGAGATTTTTCGTTTAATACCATAGGATTCCCAAGCCTCAATGTTCTCTGATACTAAGGAGCATCTTCAAATGAAATGTAGCAGCCAGAGCCTGTTCTAGGAGCTTGTGCATCATTTCCCTCAATTCTGGGAAGAAGCCAGGGCTCTTAGTGGTGCAAGGCTGGCTTGTACTGGGGGGCGGGGGGCTATGCTCTTAATACCTTGCATCAAGCTCTTAGCAACTCTGAATATTACAAGAGAAGCTTGGCCCAAAGTATTTTTCCAACAGCTCTTGCTGGGCTTAAATTCAAGCACGCTGAATCCTTCATCAAGACTGAGGTGTGTTATGTGACCCTGTTTGTACAGAGGAGATCAGACGCACGTGGCTTTGCCCTGCTGGTAGAACCAACTTTGTGGTGTCAGTGTTAACGGTGTTTTGTAGTGAAAAAAAATAGATTCTGGTACAGCCTTTTCCAGGTTTGAAACAACATTTGTGTATTTTTGATCAGGATCAAGTTTCTATAAGGATTCAGAGATAGATTTCTGGTTGAAATACACCTGTAATGTTAATGAAAGTTATATCTAGGCTATAGATGAGATTGCTACCCCAAAGTAATTTGCTTGCTTTAATACATTTCTTTGTATTTTCAGTTGACCTAATTAGCTATCTGACCCGGTTTGAGTGGGACATGGCCAAATATCCCATAAAGCAGCCACTGAAAAATATATCAGAAGCATTAGCAAAGGTAAATTGTACTCTACATTTTAAAAATGTACCAGAATGGAGAATCATGTCATTCTGAAGTTATTGGTCTCCTCTCATGTGATTCAATGAGAGTTTTGCCTTTGGTTTGGGCAGGAGCTGCCTCAGAAGACCACATTCTGAATCAAAGCTGTCAGTGTTGTTTTAATTAATATTGTAGTAATACTGATGTATTGAAACATTTCCATATATGACACGTTGTCAGATTTTGACCTGCTTTCTGCACTTTTATCCCTTTATTGCAATATCCTATTATTTTCCATGTTGGAGTTCTCTTGCAAAATTATTGGCTTTATGTTAAACCAAACACATTGAAAGTTGGATGAGCTATTTACGCTCTCAATGCATTGGGGAAGGAATGATCTGTTGGTCAATAGGGGTGATGTATGAAACAAAACTTGTTCCTTTAGGTACGACTGTAACACCTGTAGCTACAGCTAACTGAATCCTGCTTTCTGAAGATGTCTTTGCCATAGTGGTACTTGGTGGCACATAGATGTGATCTCTGCTCCCTCTTGGCCATAACCAAGGACAACCTTTCTTCATCCATCCTTGCTTCACAGTGTGGAGGTAGAGGGAGGAGGGTGAGAACAACGCACTCCAAGCACCTAGCTGAGTGGCTTTCTTTTTACTTTATTTCTAGCAAATCACTCAGATAGAAGCAGACCTGAAGACCCGAGCAGCTGCATACAACAACATTAAAGGAAATTTGCAAAGCCTGGAAAAAAAAACTATGTATGTACCACGCGTGCCCGTGCCCATCTCTGCTGGCTGAGCTGAGTACAGTGTGTGGCCACATTCAGTTCTTTTCATTCACATTCACAGCCCATGGGTGTTGTGATGGGAACAAAGTTAGTGTTTGGCCTTGGGACGTGCTAACTTATCCTTGAAGAGAAATGGGAGTTAGGGGAAGCGAGTGTGATCAGCATGTCCTAGAATCAGCTTGAGGGAGGCCGCAGTCCCTAATGCGATTTTAGCAGCAGTGTAAACAGACTGTCTTGGAAAAGAGTCACAAGCAACTTCTCCTGTGCCATTCTGATGGGGTTGAGGGAGTCAGAAACCAGATCAGCTGAGCCAACTGGTGAATTCCTTTGCAGCTCTGAGCTGTTCCCTACAGGAGCTCTGCAAATGCAGTTCAGATAAGTCACCTCTACAGTATTCCAAAGGCAGTACTTCCCTGCTGTGCCTACCCCAGGAGCAACCCGCTCAGTTTTGCTTTTCTTTGTTTCGTTTTGCTTTTCTTTGTTTCATTCCATTAGTGGGAGCAATGCTCGCTCGCTCAGGCCTTCCAAAAGGTTTTCTCTCCTCTCTTCAGCTGCTGGTGCTCTTTACCTGTTTACCTGTTTTCTGGATTTTCTCCAGACTATCACTGGGGAGAATAGTAAGTTCCTGTACTGTTCCTGTAAGTAGTAAATGTAGAGCAACTTAGAAGATGCTGTGCAAGCCCTCATCCAAAGCATGCCCATGTGTGCCATGATTTCTCACACAGGCCCATGCTCTGGGCAGCATGAGTTGGTCCCTGCCCCCCTGGTGCTGCAGGCAGCCCACAGCCTTCCAAGAATCCAGCCCTTATATTCCCAGCCCACTCCTGCAATTCACATGTCAGCTTTAGGCTCCTGGAGAGAGGCGGGAGGTCTGTGTAGGAGTGTGAGAAGCGCCGGACCTTGGGTCCTGTCTCCCTCTCACAGTTCTCTCTGCCTCCAAGTGCTGGCTTCTCTGGTGTGAGCTTGTGCCAGCTGGCTTAGGCTTAACAAACAGCTAAGGAGCTGTTTCTGGCCGGTTAATTATTGTTCAGGCTGGCACAGCTAACCAAAAGCTGATCGTTCCTCACCCCACTGAGGGCAGGAGGACAGGGAGCCCAGAGAGCCCAGACCTGCTGGGCGGAAAAAACACTTCCCAAGTGTGCAGCTTGAGTGGGACTCAGTGTGATTAAGTGAATGGACTGGCGCTGCAGGAGTGCAGATGCCCCCGCCGGGTCACCCAGCGCCCATGCGTGAGGCCTGTGCGTGAGGCCACACGTGAGACTGTGTGTGAGGCCCATGCGTGCAGCTGTGCGTGAGGCTGGCGCGTGAGGCCGGCACACGAGGCTGTGAGTGAGGCCGATGCATGAGGTTGTGAGTGAGGCCGACGCATGAGGCTGAGGCCCATGCATGAGGCTGCGCGTGAGGCCGCCACCGCCCTGTGCTGCTCTGCAGGTGCCTCTGCATGCGGGGTGAGCGGAGCTCGTCCCCTGCAGTCTGCATGTGCTGGGCGCCAGCAGCCCAGACCTGCACTAACGTTAGTCCCTGGCTGCCATGCAGGCGGCCTTGGAAAAGCAGCTGCCTCCAGCAAAGAGCTGGCAGTGACTAAGAGACGAGTGGTAGCTTCAAGCATGCACTTACAGCATCTATAACCTTACTATAAGGGCAATAGTAGCAAAGTAAGTACAATTTCACATAGAGGAAAGGCCCAAATAGCCTAGTGCAGCTTGCCAATATTATTGCATTAATTTAATTGATTTTTTTCTTCTTTTTAATTGCAGTAAGAATAAATAAACGGCCATTCTAGATGCTTAGACATGTCCTTTACCACCTCCTTCTTCATGTTCCACTTCCCCAGTAAATACTGCTACGTAGCAATTGTACCTGCAGTGCTGTACCCTCGGTGTGCTACTGTTGGGTTCTTGCTAACGTGATTTTCTCTTTGTCTTGTTCACTGTAGGGGAAATCTGCTGACCCGGACTCTAGCAGACATTGTGCATAAAGAAGACTTTGTTCTGAATTCTGAGTATCTTATCACGCTCCTAGTCGTAGTGCCAAAGTAAGGGTATAGTGTGTGCACGTGTGCTCAAGTGTGGTATTGAGTTTCAGGCCTAAACACTAGATGGGAGCAATATTAACTTGCAGTGTGGCTTCTCAAACAGCCTCCTGGTGGGAATAGCAGTGGTTAAAAGAAGAAAAGAAAAAAAAAAAGAAAAAGGAGATCTTTGTTGGAACTTAGCCAGTGTATGAAAGTGCTCACAGGGCCTCTGCCAGTGCTGTATTCCTAAATGCCTGCACGTAGGATGGCTGCCTGCGTTATAGGGTGTCCTTTTTTAGCAGCCTCCACAAAACCCTGTGCTCTCAGCAGGGCTCCTTGAGAGCACATACGCACACAGCACCATCACTCTTCTGTCTGCTAAAAACATTGTTAAAAAGCTGAGGTAAGTTATTGAGGTTTTCATCTATGCACGTTCATGTTCTCTCAGATTTTCCCTCTAAACAGATAATACATGATTTGCAATTATGTACCCTTTTCTCGACCCCTTTTCTCCTTTGTTTCACTGGAGCAGGAGCCCTGAGGCTGCATGTGGAGCAGCAGAGCCACTGCAGACTGGCTGCATCCTGTGCAGGTGCTGGGCGCATGTGTGTCAAATCCACACACTGCCCGACTCCCGATTCCTCCTTAGACCCTGCCTCGAGCCAAGGCTGAAGCTGAGGGTGCAGCACTGGGGACAACATCTGGCTTCAGACCAGCTGGTGGCCAGGCCAGGAGAGGGTGGAACAGGCAGTGCCTTTATCCCACAGCCCGACCTGAAGAGCTCCACTCTCCTACCCCAAGCCAGTAGCTCAGTCAACTACATCTATCAATACGTTGCCTCCTAGTTCACTGCAGTTACTGACCTTACTTTGTTCTGTGTTGCCCAAAGGTCAAGCTATGTGCAGTGGCAGAAGACCTATGAGTCCCTCTCTGATATGGTAGTGCCTCGCTCCACAAAGTAAGTGAAGTTCCAATTTAAGCCAAAATTATGGCAAAAAATCCAAATTATGGCAGAGATCCCTGACATACTTCAGTTCCTCAAATTACTACACCCTGGAGGGAACCATTAATTTAACACATGGGTTCCATATTAACATATAGATTTGCCTAGTCTCATTTCTGCTGCAGCCTTGACTGAAATGAGAAATTGCTCAGCTGAAGGCTGTTAGAGGTGTTTTCCAATTTGTTGTTCCTTTTCCCAGTAATCTAGTTCTGTCTTCTTCCAGTGATCACCCCCAAAATGAATCAAGTTCTTAGATTTTTGTGAAAAACAGACAAACAGCATGTTACAGTAATGCAGACAGAATTCAGACGTACATAAACACATAAACTTGATGGCAAGCACTTCGAGAGAGACCAAACACTATTCTTGCATCTTTAATTGCTTCTTCCTGTAGAAAGATTAATTCAGTTTCCAAACCGTTACCTTTATCAGCAAATGCTACAGTAACACTTATCCTTTCACCTGAACTAAAAGCTCCTTGTTAGAAATTAAATATTCGACTGCTCAGATCAAAGCACATAATGAGCTAAAATCCAGGGCATAAAACTTGTCAGTAATATTATCTGAATTGGAGGATGCAGAAAACATGGAAGAAGAACAGGGGGAAGGCAGCTCTGTACGAACAGTTCAAGAACTTAGACATTGATATCCGGATTTGAAATACTGCAGCTGAAGCTAGCAAAGTGTTTGCTCCCTATTTCGGTCACAGCAGGTCTTGAAAAGCAAGGTATCATTTGCTATCATAAATGATAAAAAAGAACTGCAAAAGGGGAATGTGGACAAGACATGAGGGATTTGTCATGCCACATCACAGCAGTGAACTTCCCTCCTGCAGAATGATTGCTGAAGATGCAGAGGGAGGACTCTTCACAGTCACCCTGTTCAGGAAGGTGATGGATGACTTCAAGGCTAAAGCCAGAGAGAACAGGTAACAACCCTGCATTGCTCAGCAGGCCAGGCTAGCAGGCAGGTGATGAGGATAAGCACAGGCCTGTTCCTTGTGCAGTACAAACACATCATTGCTTAAAGTTGCCTTGCTCTTAAGGCTGCTACTGGCCCTAAAAGCAGAGAGAAGGCAAGAGGGGAAGGCAGCGGGACCGTGGATACAATGAATTCATTCTTTTAAGTCTCAACTATGGGCCCTGACATTGCTCTTCCTGTTCTCTTGCTGCAGAGCAGGCAGCAGATTCATTCTTGCTTTCCAATGGTAACTTCTGCTCCCACCTTCCACACACTTTAAACAGTTTAATGGCCAGCAACTTCAAAACACTCCGTGCATGATTCTCCAGAGGCAAAATAAATGGGTGTGCAGATTGCATAGAATACAAGTTGAGGGAACAAATGTCCTTCCATTATAGGTTCATGGTTCGAGAATTTTATTTTGATGAGAAAGAACTGCGATGTGAGAAAGAAGAGCTGATGAAATTAGCTTCCGATAAGAAGCAGCAGTACGTAAGTAGCTCATGAGGTTGATGATCCAAGGCCTGGCTGCCTGAGAATTAACTCAGCCGCTCATCATAGTGGTGACGCCTGTGGAACCACTTCTCACAGCAAAGGGGTCGCAGGATCACTGTATGTGCTTCCATAGGGCCCATTACTGCGCTGGCTCAAAGTGAACTTCAGTGAAGTATTCGTGGCTTGGATCCACGTGAAGGCCTTGAGAGTCTTCGTTGAGTCTGTGCTGAGGTAAGGGGGTAAACCTGGCAGAGATGCCTGCAGAAGTCAAAATGCGCTGCCCGCTTTTATGGGTGGGAACGTCCCTCTAACACATCTGGTTCCAGGAGCTCACAGGAGACAACAGAGGTGGCCAAGAAAGAAGGTGACTTAATATGTTGACAAATAGAGTTCTTTAGGAACCCTTTCAGTGAAGGTGGAAAGCAAAGGGTACTGTTTAGTCACCCCTATAGCTTCAAAAAGAAAATGCTTTTAGGAAAGGAGGCATCCCAACACCACTGAGGTTCCGTGATGCAGAAACACCCAGGTGGAGAGCAGGAAGATGGGAGAGGGCGGGAGGGGAAGGAGCCTCCTCCCGTGGGATGATCGGGCGCGTTGGTGTGTTTCAAGGTACGGCCTCCCAGTAAATTTCCAGGCGATGCTGCTGCAGCCCAACAGGAAGTCTGTGAAACGCCTGAGGGATATCCTGAACGTGGTCTTCAAACACCTGGATGAAGTAGCAGCAGCCAGTATCATGGATGTATGTATCGGGGCTACAGCTGCGCTTGCTACCGCTTCTCACAGCTTAGTCAAATGAACACGTACGTAGTTCAGGAGCTAGAGCAAGCCCTTCCTCACGCCTTGCAGCGCTAGATCCCTGGATGCAGCTGCACTTAGCACAGGTGGTTACAGAGAGGATGGGGAACACAGTCACAGACTTTATGCGTTAAAGTGTCTGACGTTTACAGCTAGGTGCATACAAGCATGGCAGCTTGTCTGGGTAAAAAACTTTTTAAGTTGTCTTTGAACTTGCAGAAACACACCCAGCAAAGGGTGGGTGTGTGACACCTCGCTGCTCTGCAGAGCTGTCCTAGGCGCCTCAGCGAGGACCTGAGCAGGCAGCAGAGCTTCCTTCTCCCTCACCACATCTGCAGCACGCAGCAGGTCACCCCGTTGGGATAAACCCCCAGTCACAGCAGCTTAGAGCAGGCGAGCGTGAGACCAGCAACGCATGATGGGAGGACAGTGCAACCACAGGTGAATTCTCAGTGCTAAATGCATTAGAATAAAGCGCGAGGCAGCCCGTAAACACCAAGCAAACACCACGTGCAGCTGGTGAGCCAAGCACTAAGCAAATAACAGAGCCAAAATACGAGAATCCCCACCCAAGGGTGTGCAGAAGCAGCTGCTTAGCTGGGAGCAGCTTGTTTCTGCTGCTAAAGGAGCACTGCCTGCTTTTGCAGCCTGGCATGGACATCCCTGGTTTACAGCTGAGCAGCCAGGAGTACTACCCGTACGTCTACTTCAAGATCGACCTCAGCCTCCTTGACTGCAGCTAGAGGGAGAATTGCTCAGCTTCATCATCTTCAAGACCCTGGTGTTACAGGAAAAAAGGAGCTTCTGCTACTGAAATAGAAATTAAAATGCAGGTTTCTCAATAGCAGGATAACTATGTATAGATTTTCCTAACATGTCCAGTAATTTAAAGCAACTTCAGTAAAAGTGTTTCTGGTTCATCGTTTTCAGAAGACATTGCAGAAGCAAGAAGTACTGTGGTAGTATTTATTTATTTTTGTTGTGGGGGGCAAGTTACAAAGATGGAATCTTGAGTGGACTTGCAATAAAATTGATTTTAAAAACATGGTGGCTAATGGGTCTGCTAGGTGTGCAGTCCTGCCTTTACAAACAAGGACTTAAAACAGAAGTAGAAAGCATCTGAGCAAAACGCCAAGATTTCATCTTAAGAAGGTGAAGAAGTCAGATATTCAAAGACTACTCTGTACCTTATTGTAAGGCTACCCCCGGTCCTGACTACTACAGTTTAGTTTTTGCCAGGACACTTCCATTAAAACATGTCCAGGAGTTTGTTGTCTGGGAGAGCTCTGAATCAAACATGTATTTCCTGGTCAAATTATAATTTGCTTCCAGCAGTTACTACATTGCCCATAGATCATCCCTATAAAAAGTGCTCTTAGAGAGAACACTGGGCTATACCTAATTATAACGTTTAAAGGATGCACACTTCCAATTCTTTCGCTCCTTACTTTATAAATTAAGCTGATCTTATGAGGGTCATTTTGCTAGACACAGATACATAAGGCATTGAGAACAGCAGTAATAAGAATATTTTTACTTAAAAAAAAGGAGAAAAAAAGCAGCAACTACCCCCTTCCCCATCTCAATCCTGATTCCCATCCAAGAAAACTGCATTTGCAAATTAAAACAACACCAAATGGGAGGTGAAGTATCAGATCCAACTGAATACACATCCTCCAACTGATGCTGGAGACAGCAATTCATCTCTTTTCTGTTGGTACCTTGAATCCATAAAACCGGATTAGCTTCACTGCTAACCCTGTGAAAGACCAACAGCTCCAACATCAGCCACACTTTCTCCTAGATGCGTCTCTCATTCGAGCAGCAACCCAACTTCAATGGTATTAATGGTCATATCAATTCTGACACGAAGAAAGAAAGCTCCTGAGAAGGAAGAGGAAAGGAAGACTAAAGAGCACTGAAACTAAGAGTGTCTGATCAGGCTTAGGCCAGATCATTAAAGATCTTTCGCAGCAGGGAAGGAGGTTTATGACTCCACTCTCCCCCAGCCTCTATGTCCTACACTTCATTTTTCAAGAGTCATTAAAACCTGGATCCTTGTTACTCTGTACAAAACTAACACTGTGTGTTGAAAATATTTTGTTTTATTCTTTAATTGAAACAGAAGCTGACCAGGTTTCATCGCAATGAAAAAAAAAAAAACACATTTAAAATCAGTTACACGAAACAACCTTCTGTAACATTTAAATGCACATACTGTCTCAAGAAAATAAAACCCAAGGTGTTTCAAAGAAAGATCCATGTTGTCCTCAAAATATTTGTTACACAGAATACAATCAAGTTTACCGGTTACAACAATTCATAGAATTTTTGCAATGTTTTCTCGAGATGCGCGCAGTTCCCTGCTGCAGTGGATCCAGGAGCACGGTGTGTTCATGTGCTACTGCACCATAGAAAGGCCACTGGAATCTCCCATCTGATTGTGAACCAGGTTGCCAACCGCTGCACAAACTCTCCCAAGAAAAGAGGTTCCTGAAGATCTCACAGCTCATCTTTATCCCAGTCATCAAGATCCACATCACTGAGATCAATGTCATCTTCTACTGGAAGCTGTGAAAAGGGGAGATTTTCAAGCAAGTGTTTAGAAGCATCTATAAAAACAGTGACACTCACTGAATTTGAAGAAAACCTCTTGTTTGAGAAGTGAAGCTTCCTCCGTGGGCTTAACAGCTCCTGTCATCTCCTTCATTCATGAAAGCTCACAGAGTACTGAGCACAGGTCAAGTTCTCAGAGTTAAGACCAGAAAAAGGGTATTTTCTACAAATACTCCAAATCTAAAAAGGCAGCTAGAAATGGAGAAATCCTACCAGTGGCTAGTAGTGACTTTTACATGCTGGTGCTGAGCCTTACACAACAACTTAATCAAGCACCGTGTGTAGCAGTTATGCAGGCTGCACCCGTGCCCTCTGCCACAGCAAGGCTTTGGTGGCAAGGTCCGTGGTTCAGTCCGGCAGAATCCGTGTCTGCAGACCCAGGTCTTGCCTGAACACTCCACAGCCTCCTCATCGTTACCCAGCTCAGGCTTCTAGCTCCAATTCTCCTGAAGGGTTTGAAATCTTAAGATCACATCCCAACTGCTAGACAGGAGTGACTGTCCATGGCATCAGAAAACCAAGCTGGCATTCCATTTCTTCTTGATGTTCTGGTAGAATTTAGGTAATATTTACTACAATTTTATTCTGAAGGGCAAAGGGTTTTATGTTTATAATACATGTACTGAATACACGTCCTCCAGACATTTCCCAACCAGGAAAGCAACACTGCTTTTACAGGTGGAGCATCTCTTACCTCACCATCTTTGCCATCCCAAGGTTCAACTACATTAATTTTGGGGAAAGCTCCACCACCCACTGGTGCTGTAGAGCCACGGCCAACAGAGAGCTCCCTGAGAAGAAACAAGTAAAAATGAGGTTTAAAGAATTTCTCCATCCACCTAGAGCAGGGCCTGCTTTGGATAAAACTCAACTGATTAGCTGGCCTCAAGCAAACATGAGCAAGATGTAAACACATCTCCAATCTGAACAAAAAACTGAACAAAAAAACACCCAAACAAAACCCAGAGAAATTTGTGAGCCACATGGCTTTGTATTTCAACAGCTTCCCTTGTAATAATCATGGAGATATGCAGCCTCTTTATATGATATACAGCATACCGTTACACCAGCTCTAAGGACAGTCTATTAATTCTAGTTTTGACAGTTACTAGTTTTATACAGCAGTTACTGAAAACTACCAGTCATTAATTTCCTCATTTTCGTCTGACTCAAAACCTCTGCTGGGTACAGAGACACTCACTAAGTAACAGCTTCTGCTTTCAGGCATCTCGGGCATCATTTGCTAATGAAGCTTCCTTAAATAAGCCAACATTCTGAAGTGCTGAAAAGTTACTCCCTCTGCATTCTTTCAGCAGCAAATCAAACTGGATAAGCACTGCTCTCTAGATAAGACTCTTAATGTTTTCATGCTTTTCTCAGTGCTAATTACCCTTATGTTGCTCAATATCAGATTATCGGATTATTTTAGCCTACTACACTTTCCTTACAGAATTAAGTCAGCTACACTATCTGCAACTGTCCTGCTCTCCCTGTAGGCAGCACAGTTGAGTTGAAGCATAAAATAGCAGATTATTCCAGGAATTACTGCTCTGTAATAAAATATCAATCGAATCATCTAATTTATTAAACTCTTAAATTGGATTTTTTGTTCTGTAAACACCAACCATTCTTGCTAGAAGAAGTTTCACTAAGATTGTTTGTACAGCCTAAGAGAATTTGCCATGTCCAAATTGTATCTTCTCTGACATGTCTTAGTAGACTGGCTAGTACAGTCTTCTTGAATCTGAATCCTAAGTTTCACTTAATCCTCTTAAAACCTTCCCTTTTTGGCACTGTTCTAAGAAAAAAAGTTCTCTTGGACAGAAATATTTATACATGTTTATATGAAATATATATATATGTATATATAAAAATATTTCTGTCCAAGAGATCTTTTATATATAAATACAAATGTGTCTGTGTATAGCACAAAAACAAAACAGAAAATACCCTTCTCAAAGCTTATTTTTCTATTTTTGAATGGCCATAAAAAAACTCTTCAGGGTTAGAGCCCAAACAACCAAATTCTTGACTATTTCTGTCCACCACAGATAGGTGAGAATGGGTTTAACAGGTCTGATACCACCTAAGCCATTCCCTTAAATCAACCGGTTACCCATCATCTGAATTATTTTAAGTGTGCAAGCCTCATCTCACCCAGGACAGCCTGTTCTGGCTCTAGAGCCACAGCCCCAGTTATTGAAAGATTTAAATCACTTAAAGAAACACTTTACCTGAGAAACTCATTAATCCCCTGCTCACTGAAGGATCCTTTCAGAAGGGCAAATTTCATCTTCCGTGCATTAACAGCTGCCATTGCTGGATACCCGAAGCCTCCAATGCCCAAAGAGCTCTCAAGATCTGACTGAGCACCTGCTTCTGTCCACAGCCATCTTGGGAGAAAAAATAAAGCACAAAATAGTTAGTAAAGTCAGCACAGCTGTTTTAAAATGACATATATCTTGCAGCCCTGCAGAGTTTGGTGCCCTCCCAAGTAGTCACTGCCTGACTGCATCTCTCCATCCCACCTTCTTGTTTCTCAAGCCAGCAGGGTGATTCTGACCCCCTGCAGCAAAGAAAGCCCTTCAGGAGCAGCAGGCATAGGGCAGCCCCATGCTCACAACTGCTGAGAGCCACATCAGAAGAAGAAGCATGAAGGAAGAACCACCACTATACTCCAAATTGCATTAAGTAAAACTTAAAACGGCCCAGGTCACAGATCTGAACATGACCCAATTTCCCCTGCAGGGGATTTCTGGCCAAAAACTGACATTTTCACCCTATGTTATTTCTCAGTTTCTCTGATCTCAGTGCTCTTCTCCAATGCACAAATGTCATCTCGTCCTGTTTTCAGAGCAGTCCATGTGTCATAACAGCCCATGCTTCCTAATGAAGCCAACACTCCCTTTTCAGCAAAACTCCTGACTTCTGGGAAAGGAAGGAGGTGCCACATAACCTAACCTGCATCCTGGAGAAAGAAGCAAAGCTTTATGACCTGCTTCTTTAGGAACATGATATACATTGTTAATGAACTGCCACTTCTACTTTATTTCAAAACAAGAGGTATCCATCCCTACAACAAAGTTAGGTACTGTTGCAAAATATACCACGATGAGGGATCCTAAACAAGGAACAGCTATCTCCCATCTTTACATCAAGAGGACCAGTCTACAATGACACTCACCCCCACATTTTCTTCTTGTATTTTTCAGCCATTTTTAACATGACATCCAAGTAAGAATTCCTCCCTGAGGCTCCTGTTTGACAAGACAGTATCGCACAAATTATAAAACGCAACTACAACCCTTAGGTGACAAATTAGTTTAGAAGACTGATTTCTTGAATTCTACCTGTGTCAAGAATATGAGGCAGGACAGAAATTATGCAGAGCTGATGAGCATCGCAGATGCTCTTCAAAACATCCTCACTAACGATCTGGAAGAAAAAAGCAGAAAGTCAGTGAGAGTTTAGAGTACTCAGCTGCTTCCCTCCACCAGCCCACACACTCCATCCTACTTGAGAAAAGGTTTCTGAAACAACTTGACAGCTTAAAAGCCTCTCCTGCATCACTGCTTCCCCAACACAAGACTTAGACAAAAGCTTCGCAAGACTTCTGTTCATACTTGTAGCAACAGGAAAGCAGTAGCAGTTATCTGCAATAAATGATGCTTACAGGGAGGCCAGTAAAATGTCACTTCTTGTTCAGAAACACTTTCTGGACCAGTGAATGGTCTAAAGCTACAGCTCTAACAAACTGCAAACAGCACACTCAAACCTATGTATATGCCTTGTCGGTACCA